GTAATCAACCACATTTTAGTAATAAAAAGTATCCTGATGTTATGTGACAGAAATTTTTCATTTGGAGAAAAATTTCCATTGTGGCATCATCAATAAAAAAAAAAGGGTTATATCTCAACCTAGAAAGGGGTGAAAATTCTGCTAGATAACCCAAAGGACTCTACTGATAGCAAGACTCTGCTCTTGAGATGCTTGTGGTATCAGAATAAAAATATTTAATGAAACAGGGGAAACATAAATATGTTCAATATTTTTTAAAATGCACCACATGATACTTATGTACATAGATATAGAAGAGATGGACTAGTTCTTAAAGATACGAAGAACCCATATACATGCAGATTAAACAGTATCTCCCCTTCAGATGACAGAGCTGAGAATCTCCCTCACATTGATCCACAAAAATAGAATGTGCTACTTTACTTATTTTAACTTATTTTTACTTACTTATTTTAAACGTCTGTCAGGTTTTAAAGTGAATATCTCGTATGGTCAGCAATTCTAGGAACAGAAATATACCCAACAGATATTCATTGCAACTTTGGGGGTTTTTTGTTGTTGTTTTTACTTTACATTATTTTGTTTCAATTCCAGTGTAGTTAACATACATTGCAATTTTGCAGTAGCTAAAAGATTGCAAATAATTGATGCCCATCAATAAGGAACTGTTTGAATAAATTATATCCCTAATGGACAATGGGGTAATACATATAGCTGCCTTCTTATATATGCACAGAATACCCCTAGGAGAAGCCATTATTAGTAATCACCTCTGGTGGGGTGGAGAAGGGTGCCTAAGGGCCAGGAGTGGGGGTTTTATTTTTCTCCTTATATTATTTGAATATTTAATCCTTTACATAGATTACCTACTCACAAAATAACCTTTGCAGAAAAACACAGCATGTTCTTAAAAGCAAAAATGCTACTATCTATCTGTGGGAGCATGAAAGCAGTGAATATCATCACCTAAGGGTCTCTACTTAGTAGACCCCAGTGAAGAGTTATTTGTTTCATTACCATTAGCCTCTAAAAATACCCCTGCCCTTCTTTCCCAGGAGAAGTCTCACACAACAGGAACTCTTTTTCAACATGACCTTTAAGATCCAGAGCAATAGATTTAAGCAAGAAATAAAACTGAGTGGGGAGGAAGCAGCAGAAGAACTGTGCTGGATGATGGGGGAGGAACGAGGAAGAGGGGGGCTGGCCTCCAGAGTCTGTTTCAGGTGCAAAATGCTCTGAAAAGACCTCTCTAAACTCCAGCATCTCCTGAATCTTTATTAGAATAGCGTTCGAGGCAATACAATGGAACTCAGTCATTTCATCAAAGATTAAGTGCTTTTATTTCACTTGCTACTTCCTTGACCCAAGGTACAGATAACTCTTTGGCCAACGTTCTGATACTTCTGCTGCCAAGGCTGTGTAGCTTTTGCCCTGAATCTCCTGGGTATCCCAGTCTCTTTAATCAGAAATATAGCAATAATGTCTATGCTCTTGCTCTAAGACACTCTGGTCCCCTTCGGTTGGCTAGTATGGCAGTGAAAAGAATCCCAATGCCAACTCTATCTTCCCAGCACAGGGTGGCTCAGACATCCTACCTCTCTCTTTCTCTGACTAAGCCACTGCCCAGGTAGCCATGTTTCTCAACTTGTGTCAGAGAAATGACTACCTGCTGAAAGACACTTCCCAGATGCTGAAAACTTCACTACTAGAAGATGAAAGGAACAGTGTTCAAAGAGTTTGAACATTCCAGGGAATATGACTCAGGCCTCAAGCAGGGTAGAGTCCTAGAACAGGTAAAGCTCATAAAATCAGTGACCTCACAAAAGCGCAGGAAGAGAGACACAATTTGCCCACACATCCTTGGAAGGCAGGACTGGCCATGATTTGGATCAAAGGTGACCAGGTCATGTTGCTAAGTTACCCACCTTCTCTAGAGAGAAGATGTTTATAGGCTCTCCTCTTTTTTCCTTCAGGAAGAGTGGGGTCTAGAATTCAAATAATGCCAGTGTAGGAGCACTGAGTGAGGTAGAGCTGGGCAAACAGATGAACTTACCTTTGAGAAGGCATGATGCAGGGTGCCTACCTTGCCACTTTCCTCTCCTGACTTTTGCCAGCTAAAATATCAGGTATAAGAGATGCAAAGTTAATTGAAATATTGCTCAGTGATGCATTTATATTAAGTAAAAAGAATCACGAGTGGAACCATGCCTTGATCATATCAAGCAGGCATTCTTGCGTCCATGGAGTGGGAGGAGGAAAGACAAGGAAAGGCAACCAGATTAGACATGGTTCACACTGATATGCATCAAAGATCTCCAAATAATATACTGAGTAAAAGAAGGCAAATAAAACAGAGTACATACTTTAGGATTACATTTCTATAAAACTCTAGAAAATGCAAACTTGTAATATATGGTGAAAGCAACAGATCAGTGTGCTTAGGAGTTGGGGAGCAGAGAAGGGCTGGAGAGAGAGATGCATAGGGGTAAAAGTAAATTTCTAGGGCTGATAGATATTTTCACTCTCTTAATTATGATGGTATTGTCACAAATGGTGACACCAAAACTTATCAAACTGTATAAGCTAAACATGAACAGCTTATTGCATGACAATTATACTGCAATAAAGGTAATTTCAGACCACTGTTCAAGCTAAAAAATAGCAAAGGTTGAAATCATCCTCAAAAGTCATCTTGGTCTTCCTATTTCTCGGATACGATATAATCAAACAGCTTTGACTGACCGTGAACCAGCCCAAGGTAAAGTACATGGGGAAAAAAACAAAAGCTGGAGCCCAGAAGGCCCCTCCCCCAACCAAATACCTGCCTTCTGAGGTACAGGAAAAGGCTGATCCTGGCAGCTCAACTCCACAAACCTGCCTGCTGAGTAGCAAATTCCCATGTGACCTATATTCCCCAGGCCATATCCACATTTCCAGCAACAGCTGGGAGGGGTCCCCACTTCCCTTTCAGTTAATGATCCAGTCAAAACTAGAGCAAGGCAAGAAGAGGAAGCGACAAAGAGTGAGTTCTTCTCTGCCCTCCAGAGATAATCCTTGGTTTCCAGCCCATGACAAACAGGAGGAATTAGGCAAAAAGCCCAATACCATGAAGGTGATAAAATTTAAAAGATGCCCAAAAGACACATATTCTGAAGGACCCTAAGAGATGGCCTCGAATTGGGGTCAGAGCTTCTCTGGCCTCTAACTTACCTGCTGAGAAATGAGAGATATCAGGAATAACGACTTTACTAAGTATCTCAAACTATTTCCTCAGGCTTTAGTTATAGCTCTTCCCAGGCACCTCCATAAACCGGGAGTGACTCCTGTTACGGCCATTCTAACCTAGGCAGGGACATGGTTAACTCAGTTATGAGAAGCTCAGGCTTCTTCACAGACAGTCAGTTCCCTGACATCTCATCTTCTTTCCTGCCAGACACCAGCAAACACCCAACCTCCTTCTTATACCTTTTCCTGTGGACTACTAGGGTGCACTACCTGGTCCAACTCAAGCCTCTCAGAGCTACCCCTCAATGCCCCTGCATGGACTGCCATATCCTTGACCTCCAACAATGGACAAACCACATGCTAGTTGCACAATTCTGGCCTTTCTCTCTGGGGTGTGGGCTTCTTGACACTCTGCTGTATTAAGTAATCCTCCTGGGCTTTGCATCAGCCTTGCATCAGGAGGAATGCTGAGCATCCTACAAGAGCCAGGAGCAGCCTTCAAAGAGGAATGGATTAGAGATCACTGACAAGATGGAAAAAAGTCTTGGGAGCAACTCAGGAAACAAAATGCCTCTTTAAGTTTTCTGGACCCCAGAGTGAGAAGAGCACCATTTCTTTCTCTCAAACAACATTATGACATCCTCATCAATTCCAAAGCCAAGAAGAGGTAAAACAAAGACACATAAGTCTGAAAAAGGTGGAAGTAGAGTCACTGAATGTGTTCTGTGCCAGCAAAAACATTCAGATATTCATCTCCATCAAAAACTTCCCTATTTTCCAGAGGAAATTCAGAGAAACTAGCAAACGGGGTTAGAAGAAACAAAAGATATAGCTGAAGGGGTGGTGTGTCTGCCCCATCACCTGCTTCAAAGTTAACTTGCAGTGCCAAAGCATTTGATACTGCTGGTCTGCCTTCCCAGAAACACTGAAGGTTTTGAATATGAAAAGTGCCAACCATCGACTTGAAAAACATGGTCAGGACAGTAGAATCCTATAAATAGATACAGTTTATGAAAATTCTGGGCCACGGCACCCCCTGGCTGTGGGTAAGTCCTTTTGCCATTAACACAACCACTTGCCACAGATAACACTTTGTAAAAGGGGGTTGGGAAGGAGTGAGCTGATGACTGACGTGGGAAAGTGGAGAGAGAAGACATATCAGTCTTAAAATGGGGCTAATAAATCCAGGGTTGAGGACCTTGAAGGACCCGTGGGACAGCAATCTCATGACTGCGCTGGGAAGGCGAGATCAACCACATCTGTGAGCCTTGGAGCTCTGGCTTCTGATGAATAGAGAAGATTCCCAGCAGGCTTGGCAGGAAATGTGGGGACCCGGGAGAACAGCAGAAGTGGGCTCCCCAAGGAGGACTAGAGAAAGAGCAGTGATCGGGGGACATCTGACAGAGTCCTGAAGGCTACCTCTGCTGCCCTTCCCAGAGAGCTGGGGGTATCCACGAGAAAAGCAGAGCCCGGGCATCACAAGCTTCGAGAAAGTGGGGAAGTTCTAGGGCACAGAAGCCTGGGGACTGAGAGCACAACGCCTGGTGTCACCCGGGAAGCCTGGATCTCGAGGTAGGAGCAGAGAGCCTTGTGATGGAGAGGGACGCCAGACCCAGCAAAAAAGAGGCCGAATACGCCTTTCCAGTGGGGTCTCGCGATTCGCGGGACGCGGACTCCTGGGGCTGCTTCCCTCAGGTGAGAGGGGAAGCGAAAACCGTGGGTGTGGAAGGCTGAGATGTCCGGAGTCCGGCAGGTGTCGGGCGGGGCTCTCTCACCTGCGGAGCACCAGGAAACCCACGATCACCAGCAGCAGGAGTCCGAGTGCGCGGCCCGGCTTTCGCCCAATGCTCCACTTGCCCATCGCGCGTTCCCGCCCCGCGCAGGGACCGCAGCCAGCACTGTAGCCAGAGCTCAGCAGCGCGCGGGAGGCTCGGGGCGGGTGGGGGGGGGCGGGGCCGCACTCTGGTCGCCCGGGCGACCGGACCGCGTCCCCCGCCCCCGGCCCCCAGGCTCTCATTGGCTGAGCCCTTCGGCCCCGCCCCCCGCGCTTCAAGTTAAGCGTAGGCGGGGGCGGGGCCTGACGGAGGCGGGGTGCACTGCCTCCCCGAGCAGTTTCCAACTCGGGGAAGGTTCCCGGGAGGCTCTCCGGCTCTCCTCCGCCACCTCCCACTAGTCTCAGGGAGGCGCTGGTTGTTTCTGTTTTCCTTCACGTGGTATGCAAACAGGTGCAAAGATACTGGGCGCCTGTTGCCCAGTCCTTGCGGATCGTAGAGCACACACACCAGCGCTCTACATTAGCAAGCATGTATTGAAGGCGGTGCCTGCAAAGCCGACACAATGTTTTAGAACAATTCAGATTTTGAAGTAGTGAACTACCATATGAAAAGTCAGAACATTGTGAAATTTCCTTTAGACATGTTTTAGGACAGTGTGGTTCACGTTTGAACAGCGTGGGGGGTGGTGAGGTGAAGAGGAAGGAGCACCAAAATATTTTTTGCCTTTAGTTTCCACAAGTCTTGTTCTGGTCCTGACTCCCAGTAATTTCGGTTTTTCATCTTTAAAAAGTCCAGATAAAACCCTCACATTTTATGAAAGGACAAATACAATTCTTATGGGTACAGAATTATGTCACAAAGGATATTGGGTAATATTTGGGCAAATTTATGCTTTCTAACAATCACACACCCAATTCATTTTTCATGAATTGGGTGTGTGCTTAACTTTTTCATTTACTGAAAGAAAATCTGAAACATTTTCTAGGAAGGCTAATGTTATTTCAGAGCATCCGAGGTTCTAGAAAATATCCCCTGTGGCGTGTTTAAAAGATTTGTTTTAAATTCATTTGTCAGAGAGAGAGCACGCACAAGCAGGGGGAGCAGCAGGCAGAGGGAGAAGCAGACTCCCTGCAGAGCAAGGAGCCCAATGCGGGACTGGATCCCAGGACCCTGGGATTACAACCCCAGCTGAAGGCAGCCAGGCAGCCCTCTAACGGACTGACCACCCAACTGTCCCTGTTCCATGTTTCAAAACCATTTTCTACACATGTACATAGTTTTGAACTTTTAAAGCTGATAGGGACAAAATGATATTTTACTTCTCAGAACAAGTTCAAGTTGCAGAGTTCGGTGTGAAGTATCCTTTTACAAGTATTAGGCAAATATTTACTAGGGAGAAAGTTAAACAAAGAGAGGAAAAAACAACCAAACAAGGGTGGGGGTGGGGGGAGAGATAGCAGGGCCAGAAACATTCTTGGAGACATTTAGAGAAGTAGCTCTCCTTTCACACTTTATAAAATCAGTACTTTTCTCTATTTTTTTAAAGACACATAATTGCTTGATAGTTATTAGGACTATGGTGAAAACATTCTTCTATAACTGAGATAAAAGCTAGCCCATGAGATATGGAGAAAGTGTCAAAGGTTAGCCCCCTTTTTACCTTTGGAGACCTGGCACATAACCCAACACTCACCCTTCCCTCCTTGTGACATTGCTGGGGAGTAGTACAATCGATCACACATCAGGGTATCCTGAAGTTAATAATCAATACCATGGGGCTAATAATACACTATATGTTAATTAAAAAAATAAACCATTTATTAAAAAAATACCAGCATCTCCATATTTTCTTCAGATATTAGTAAAACCTGATAATGAGCTATAAAACCTCTGAAATTCTTAGCCCATCCCTGTACCCCTCATTTTTATTTATTAAAGAAAATAAAAATAACTAAGCTCTTTAAAAAAAAAAGTCATTAGGGGCGCCTGGATGGCTCAGTGGATTAAAGCCTCTGCCTTAGGCTCAGGTCATGATCTTAGGGTCCTGGGATCGAGCCCCGCATAGGGCTCTCCGCTCAGTGGGGAGCCTGCTTCCCTTCCTCTCTCTCTCTACCTGCCTGTCTGCCTACTTGTGATCTCCGTCAAATAAATAAAATCTTAAGAAAAAAAAAAAAAGTCATTAGCCCTTAACTTTCTGGGAAGCTCAGAACCATAGATACAGCTACCCACAATTTAGGAACAATTTCACTTTATCTGGCTTTAATGATACCACAGAGAGTGTTGCAAAGATAGCACTAGTCTGAGAGATGTTTTGCTGAGGAGTTGAGACTTTTGGTTTTTAAAATATTAGCAAGATACTCCTTCAAAATACTCCTTTCCAAAATATGTAATGAATTTAACCCAAAGTAGACAATGACATACTCAAATCCTGGGAGCAGAAGCTACTGTTAAATGAGCAGGCCTGGTAGAGATGTAAAAACTGTACTCTGGCAAAGTGTATGGGATGAAAACAAATCCCTGATGTTCAGGAATCAATCTTCACAGGCTACCTTTCTGGCGTCATTTGTTTAAAAAACATACAAAACTTTTGTTTTTGTTTTTTTTTTTTTAATGAAGTCCTGTTGTCATCCTCAGCCCACGACTTTAAGTTAGAGCTCCAACAGACCCAGAGAGCTCAGCTCCTTCTTTGAGAAGTCACCTATCCCACATAGTATACAAAGAACTCCAGAGGGGAATAAAAGCTATAGTCATTCAGAATCAGTACAGTGGAGGCTCTCAAGAAAAATAATCATATCAAACTAACCTTATTGTCTTTTTTAATAGGTAACAAACAGGTTTATAGATCAATTGTGTCTTATTTTTTAGTGCACTGTACTAATGCCTTAAGAGTTATGTATCTGAGTAATGTATCTGAATTTTAGAAAAATATTTGATGAAATCTTTCTTAAAGTCATGAGAACAAGATGCAAAATGTGGCTTCTGTGATAGAGCAGGTCCTTGGGACCCTGGACCGTGGTACAATCAGCTCTTCTTCACCCTCCTCCTTAAAGACAGACATTTGCACCAGCCCTCCTCACCCACTCTCTCCAGCTCTTTTGCTCCAGGTTACATGACAAAACTAGTTATGATGTCAAGTTGCCGAAGATTCTTGAGCAAAGAAATTAAAAACATGGAGGAATTTCTGGGAATAAATGAGGACAATTTCAACCATAGATAGAAAGTCCCAAGAAGGTGATTTAGGCCTTGGAAAAAGAAAAAGAAAGCAAATCCAAATTAAGATAAATAAGTCCTCTCACCCCAGGAGATATGTCAGTGGGACTGGAAGGGACATGGATGCATTGGGGAGGGATGCACTGAACTTCATCATTGGCCTTTACAGTCCAAAAATATCACTCTTCAGCCTCAGCCTTTGAAAGGCAGAAAGGCCAAAGACCTAATTCAGTATTTCATTCATTAAGAAGTAAGCAGCAAATATTTAATGACTACTATGAGCTGAACACTGTTTAGGTACTTGCAGTACCTCAGTGGAAAAAAGAGATGAGGATAAAATATAAATTTCCCTTTGAAATTTATATTTTAGCTGAGGAAGAAAGACAACAAAAATTAACAAATTAATGAGTAAATTATAGAGTATGTCCAGAGATAATAAATTGCATGGCAAAAAGAAAGTAGATAAAGGAAGGAGATTGTTTGAGTGTGTATGGCGGCTGGGGAAGGGTATGCACAGAGGAGGTCTTACTGAAACGATGTTAACTGAGCAAAGATCTGAAAGACGTGAGAGTTAACCATGCATGCAAATAACTGGAGGAAGGGCTATGCAAGCAGAGAGAACCCACAGTGCAAAGGCTCTCAGGCAGGAGCATAACAGAGTGTTCTGGGAACTGCAAGGTCCGTGTGGGAAGTGAAAGGGAAGGGGAAAACTACAGGCCGTGAGGACAGAAAAGTACAGGGGCCTAACGATGGAAGGCTTTTCAGAGGACTCGGAAGTGAAATAGGAGCCATTATAGGCTTTGGACATCAGTTATGCTTTGAAAGACTCCTCTGGTTCACCAGGAGTGGGCAAGAGCAGAAGAAAGAAGACCAGCTTTGAGGCAGCAATCCCAGTGGAAGATGATGCTGGCTCACACAAGGGTGGTAGGAATAGAGGAGGTGGGAAGTGTTGGACTTCTGAAAATAGTTTGAAAGCAGAAACTGGAGGACTGTTGTGATTCCAGGATCATTTGTGAGGTGAGAGAAATAAGGAGGATTCAAGAATGACTCTAACATATCAGAAGCACAAATTGGGCTAGTTGAGTTTGAGATACCTGTGAATGTGCTAGGAGAGATATCACATAAGCTATTGAATGCACAAGCCTGAAGTTCCGAAGAGGGGTCTGTCATGGAGATATAAATTTAGACACTGACATAGAGTTGGTATTTAAAGGCAAGAGTTTGGGTGAGCTCACCAATGAAGTAAGTGCAGACAGAGAAAGAGGACAAGGATGAGCCCTGGGGCACCTGACACTCAGGAGAAACCAGTGAAGTTGAACTAAAAGGAGCAGCCAGTAAGGCAGGAAGAACACTCAGAAAACATGGCATCCTGAATGCCGAGAGAGAAGTTACCAAGGAGGAAGCAGTAATGGCCTACATTACATGGTGCTGACAGGTCAAGTTAAGACTGATAATGAATCAATGGATTCAGTACATGGAGGATTTTGGTGACTAGGATGCCGGCAGCTTAGGTGGAGGTGGGGGTTAGGGGCAGGGAAGCTGATTGGAGTAGGTTTATTTTTTTTTAAGATTTTATTTATTTATTTGGCAGAGAGACAGCACAAGTAAGCAGAGCGGCAGGCAGCGGGAGAGAGAGAAGGAGGCTCTCTGCTGAGCAGGGAACCCGATGCAGGACTCAATCCCAGAATCATGACCTGAGCCAAAGGTAGCCGCTTAACCAACTGAGCCACCCAGGCGTCCCTGGAGTAGGTTTAGAAAGGATGAAGAATCTAAGAGCGAAAGGGGAATCAGTAATTGGAAGAGTAGCTGGTGGTTCTCAACTTGGAGTCAGGGGTAGTATTCTATCTTCATTTCTATTTTGGATAGAAACTACCACGTACTTGTACGTTGAC